GGGAACGAACCAGAACCACAAGGATCATGTACGTTCGCTTCACAAAGCCAAACTACAAAGTGCTGCAGTATAAGTTCAACCAAACTGATTATTTATTTATTTATATATGAACACCAGAGTTGATGATGGTTATTAGATCATCTTCGTCACCGAGGTGTAGTCTGAAGACACGTGTCTTTACTCTGTGGTGGGAGACGTGGAGACTTTCTGTCCCGGTGTCCATCGTGTAGGAGCCACACACCTGATATTTAGGTTCTTGGACGAGTCTTCGCTAATTAGACAGAAAACTGGACGCAGATGATCACATGACAAAAATAGAATGAATGGTTGTGTCTCAGAAACAGGCGTCACCGCAGCTTCTTACATAACTGCTTGACTTTTCCGCCCCCCCCCCCCCCCCCCCCCCCCCCCCCCCCCCCCCCCCGTGAGCCGGAGACACTGGAGCCGCCCTGATTGATCCCTGAAGGGCTCCCGTCTCTCGCCTCGCTGCCTTGAATGATCCTCTCGCATTCACGCTGCAACCAGACGCTCGAGATAAAACACAGGAAGTGTTTCAGTTGCCCCGGCGCCCGTCTACGCAAATGTGATGTAGGTTAGGTTTCTGACCACACACACACACACACACACACACACACACACACACACACACACACATTGTTTTCTATAGTTTTCAACACAAGAGGAAATGTTTCTTTGATTGAAATGAGTTTCATGTGAGTTTTGTTAGTTGAACTCATGAAACTCTGTTGGCAGCGGCGCTCGCTCTCACAAAGCTCTTTTCTCTGGCAGATCTCAGTTATGTGACGTGCGTGGGGACGCTGGAGACGCGGAGTCAACGCTCTTTGCCTCCTTGTTGGAAGTGAAGTCTCTTCTGTGTGAGAGCCTGCGAGCGAAGGCACCAGCATTGTTCTCCTGCCCACAAAACCGCTCGACAACAGCGCCACTCAGGAAATGCACATTCATGCTTCGGCCTGAATCTTTACAGGGTGAAGAATAAGAGATGTCGTCAACGGACACATGATCTCTGCGAGCTGATGTCACACAAACACACAGGTCCAGAGAAAGTCCGGAGGAAAAACAAAAGAATCAGCAGAAGCTTCAGACTTTCTACCACTGACGTCTCCGTTTCCTGTCGTAAATTCAAAACAGACCAAAGTTCAGTAAAGGACAGCTCGTGATAAACGACACAGTTTTTCTGATACGTTGTCTGAATGTGCAGCGCTGAAGGAATTCAACCGCCGGTCGATCTCTGAGGGTTTTCACAGGATGATGTACGAGGCGTATGCAGAGGTTAGACCTACTCAGGAAGCTCAGTGACTCAGGGTGAAAAGGAAACTCTCAGCAGTTGGATGCAAAGCACAGATGGAACAGAGCGTCAGGGTTTCACGAAATATCAAATAAAACTCTTGACATAAAACGAATGATCTGTCCCTCATTTGCATTTATGACTTCATGTTATTTTAGAAGCAACAGGGTGGAGTTTGTTGATAAGTATTGGGTGCTGTACTTTCTGTTTTAATGATTTACAGTTTAAATTTTTTATCCAAGTTGTGGTTTTTTAAAAATATTTCACATTGTTCACAGTGAAGTTCAACCGAACCTGGTCCAGACAAAGAATCAGACGGAAAGTGAAACGTTAATCAAACTTGTGTTGGCGGGTGAGACGCAGCAAAAAGAGGAGGAGCCAACAAAGGTTTGATTTACAGTCAAGTTCATGACGAGGGTCAGAGAAAATTTGGTTAAAGTGAGGAAATGACTGTTAATCATCTATAACAGATCAATGATGGGACAGAGCTCGTTATTAAATATATATATGAACCTTAAATATTAATGTGCCAGTCTCCTGATGCCAACTCAATCCCCATCGTCAGTCAGGATACAGAGCAACATATTCTAGGTCGATGGTCGTTGAGTCAGAGAATTACAATTTGAAATAGCAGCTTAAAGACCTAAAGAGATGTTTCTCATAAACCTCAATATTCTGCTCACATCAAACAAAACGAAAAACAGGCAGAAAATCAACCAGATCACTGAGCAGCAGCTGAAACTAAAACCAGCACAGGCCGCGACTTCTGTCTGAGGAGACGCAGAAATGAGCTTTCACTGATTCCGCTCCCACAGAGATGGTATCCTGGCCGACGCTGGCGGCTGCAGGATGAGGTTCAAAGGCTGAGCACGTTTCTTACCACATCCACCATCAATCAAGAATCCCTGAGGCTTCGTCACCACGTGCATGAGCCGCGATCAGAGCCGTCCGACCAGATTCCACCAAACATTAAAACTGCTCTCTGAACTCTGCAGTCACTCACGTGTAAAATAAAGGAGACGAGAAAACGCCTGTGCAGCAGTGACGTTTAATTATAGGAGAATTATCGCCTTCACGTTTTGTTTGCAAACGATGAGATTCGCACATTCACACTCGTTAAGAACCGAGGCCCAACTTAAATTCCATCAAGCTCAGATATCAGTGCTCGAGGCGTCCTGCTGCCTAAAGGCCAAACTTCTACCAACCTGAGGAATGTTCACACCAGACCCACGAAGACAGTGAACGTTGTTCCGGGACAATTCTGCACTTTTTTCTTTTTTCATGCCCTTAAATTCCATTTATATAATATAATGGTTGTCTTTTTTACAAAAAGGGAAGTGAACGACTTCATAATAACAGCAACTGTAGATCTATCCCGCCCCCCGGGAGAAAACTTAATGAAAATGCAAGAAAAGAAGAAGGAATATAAATCTGAAGAAGCGTAAGTGAAAGGAAGTAAAAAATTTACGAGAGCAGATTACACAACCTCACAGATATCAGTGCTCTGATAATGTTTTTTCCATCACGATCTGTGAATCATTGTCCTTGAAAAACACAAGAAAGAGAAAAAAAAGAATGTCCTGGATCCAATGAGTTCTTCTCTCAGCCATAACTCTTCCTTCCACCAACTTTATATTAATGTCTGTTCAGTCATCGTTGTGTAATCCAGCTGAGGATCCCTGTCTGAGGTCAAAGTGAAGCAGTAAAATGTGGTCAAACTATTATTTGGTCATCAGGAGGAAGAATTATGATGAATGACATCATGATCCATCATCATGTTTCAGTCACCGATTCAAATGTGCGGCTGCTTTCACACCTGCACTGAACTCTGCACATCCTTTCCTCTGGAGAAGGTGCACGTGTCCGACGTGGATGTAAACAAAAACACTGATCAGAATTTATACGTCATGTCCCGCCTCCTGCTGCTCTAGAGGCTCCGCCCCTCGCCTGAAAGTTCCCCTGTTGCTGTGAACGAGTCGGACGATCTGCTGCTGCTTCACCGGACAAACACCAACCCCAGAGACTTGTGGGTAAAGTGAAGGATGAAAACACCTGAGCTCAGTTTACTGGTTTGTTTTTTTAAAAATCGCAATTAGAATGAACGTGTGTGTGTGTGTGTGTGTGTGTGTGTGTGTGTCGTTGTGCGTCTCTGATCTCCACACGACAACAAGCTCAACACGTAGAGGTGCGCTCGCTTCGTTCAGGCGACATTATCGATAACAAGCAGGTAAACTGAGCTCCGGTGGTTTTATCCTTCACTACATCAGACTCGGCTCGGAGCGGCTCGTCTGTGATAGGCCGACGTCCAAAGAGCCTCCAACAAGGTGTGTTGATAAAACAACGGAGCATCGCTTTGTGGAAAATGTCAGAGGTGTTGATGATAACAGAAGAGGAAATAAAGGCTTTTAATGCTTTCACCGTTATTCTGCTGAATTACTAACAATTACAGTTAAAACAGACGTGTTTCCTGTTGTGGTTGCTGAGAACACGATGGTGCAGGTACCGTGTGAGACTAAAGATAATACTGTCTGTTAAAGCTGCTACATGTAAGAGGACTCTGTCCTGGAGGTGGCGCTAGTTTGCAGAGAGTTTGGACCATACACCACTGACAGTTATTACGTCACTTCCTGTCTCTGTCCGCCCCAACCTCTCTCCTGGAGGATTCGATGATGTTTGGACAATGTGTGAAAAGTAAACTCTGGATAAACTCCAGACTTTGTGTTTTAACAACACGTTGAACCTGGAAGAGGAGAGAAATAAACCTGACGTCCTGAAAATACTGATTTTCCAGTCCTGCGCTGTGTGGAGTGAAAACAGACAGAGAGGTCGACGGTGCCAACCTGTGACAGTTTCACGTGCGATCTAAATATTGTCTTTTAAGAGTTCGGCAGCTGTTTGTCGCAAAATGCTGTTAAAACTCCAACAGGTCGTAACGATGTGATTCAGACGTCGACACAATGAGACTAAAGTCAGAAAACTCCTCACGTCTTAACGTGAGTTTGAGCTTATTCTGGTGAAATTAGTTAGAAGATGCTGTTTCCATGGTAGCGAATCCTTGTGTTAATATTTAGACTGTGAGGGTCCATGTAAACACAGAACCTGGATCCTTTGGGATGAATCAGGACACAGACACCAGGCTGGTCTGAAGGATGGAGGCAGTGACTGGCTTCATGTCTGAGAGGTTTAGTTCCCACTTAACAACAGACAATAACACAAACAACCTCAAACAACGACCCGGCAGACACACAACACACACTTCAGGGGCCTCGTCTCCGAGGGACCTTGTGCGTCCTCTGCGCCCCAGGGACACAAGCAGGAGGCTGCGGGCCACAGAGAGATGAGCTGCACGAGGAGGAGGAGAAGAGGAGGAGGTGGAGGTAGAGGGGGAGGTGGAGGGGGAAGGTCGCGGGCCACAGAGAAGCCGACACTATCAGCAGAAAGGGCCGTGAGAGCGGTGACACGCGGCCTTCTTGTAAACTGCGTCAACAAAAGACTGTGCGTAATCTCGGTGCGCGTCTGCTGCTGCGTCCAGACAAGAAAAGACAAACACTGAAGCTGCCTGAGGAATGTGAAGCACACACACACTTACTCACACACACACACACACACACA